GTGTGTGTGTGTGTGTGTGTGTGTGTGTGTGTGTGTGTGTGTCACCTGGTGCTGGTCCTGGCTGAAGGCCTGCAGGATGTCAGTCTGGCGGGTGTAGTTCCCGTTGGAGTCCTGCAGACCCTGCAGCAGACGCTCCTTCAGGACGAGGACCGACACTCTCAGCTGGTGCCACAGCAGCTGCACCGTCCTGAACCACCACACACAACCACTTATTGATTATTGATGAGAAATCAGTTAGATATCAGCCCTGACTGTCAGAGTCTCTGAACAGCTTTATAGTAATAAACTTTTACTTTACAGTCTGATGTTTGACATATTCATTTGTTTGATAGGAAGGAGAGATTATTAGTGTCTCCCTCATCACTTGTTAGAAAACTGATCGGAATACATTCACTATAAATAAAGTATCTATCTATCGTCACTGATCAAAGTCTGATCACAAACTGCTGAAGAGGCAAAAGTAAAAAGTAAAAGCTTTGCAAATATTCTAAACACAACGCTTGTAGTTTATCTAGTGCTGGAAAAGTTTCTGATGATTTTCATTTAAAAATGATTGCTCAAGTTGAAGTGAGAACATTTGATCAATATATAAAACAATAAAGAAGAAACACTCTTGGTTTGTTCAGAGTATTTTCCACTGACGGGAAGGAGATTCATGATCCACATGACAGAGACTGTTTGACACTGTTTAAACTTCAAGTAACAGGAGACAGAGGCAGAGCAGGAACATGTGAACATGATGAGCTCATTCAACTCTCAGCGAGCGTCTCCTCTCACCTGATGTCGACGATGATGTTGACGGAGTAGGACAGAAGTTTCAGGGAGAACTCCGTCTCCAGCAGAGCGTGAATCTGCTCCACATGGTCCGAGATGTCCTCACAGATGTCCTGAAGTGACACACACACACACACAGAAAAAAAAGATGAGCAAAATTACAAGTGATTAAAAAAGCCGTGTTACAGCAGCGTGTCTGACAGTATATAAAAGTGCAGAACAAAAACATGAGCAGAGAACGACGGGAAAAAGCAGAAGTGACGAAGACGAGCGGCGTCACGTTTCCAGTTTTAAACATGAGTCAGTTTCATGTGGCATCAGTTCCAGGTTTATATGTGAAAACATGGAGAACATGTCCTACAGGCAGACAGACAGACGGGCAGACAGACAGACAGGCAGACAGACAGACAGGCAGACAGTCTCCAGTAGAGGAACACGGAGCTAAAATAACAGTGGCTGCAATATGAAGTCAGTGTTTAACTAACATGCAGACTAGGGTAATGTCCTCTAACACCACAGTTCTGCCATAAATTCCACCTTAACAAACAGTCAGAGGTGTTAATTAAACTATAATGAGGTGTTCCTAATATATTTTCCATTCCATTTACATAAATAAAGGAGGCAGATTAACTGTTAACTACAGCTACAAAGGGAAAATTACCTGATTAAAGAACTAGTTCAACAACACCATGACAAGAAAACAAGAAGACGAAAAGGAGGTGTTCATAAAGATTGCCTTCAGTTTATTAATGTCATCAGTCACTAATCAAGTTTTTCTTCTTCTCTCACTTCAGCACCTTTTAAAATTAAATGTTTTGTTGTTGGTTAAAATGTGTTTTGTGGAAAAGAAAGTTCATGTAACTCTGATATTAAAGTGTCAACAGAACATTATTACTTTTCTTTATCTGCAATAGATGTCTTTAATGCATTTTTATTCTTTTTATTATTTGCTTTGCACACAACCAACTCGCTCGGACTAAAATTAGACGCCCTTTGAAAAAGCAGGCGACCTGGATTCGAACCCTCGGCAAGATACTTTGCTGAGTCACCGTGCTGCTCCATGGCGACCTGCCTGAACAACACAACACCTCCGCCGCTGCCTCCGCCCGGCATGTGAGAATGTAGGTCACACACGCTGCCAGCTTGGCTCATGCTAGCTTGGCTAACACCGTGACCTGCTGAGCGCCGTTCCAAAATAAACTCATCACTACTGTAAGGGGTGGGGGGCTGCAGCCCGGCGGGAACAACGCTCTCGGCATGTGGTCGACGTGGGCGTGAGGGCTCAGGTACACACAGACCTCATCCTGTCACCTGTGTGAGCGCAGGTGGCCAGCTGAGTCACACTGAACCTGTCAGCTGTGTTCTGGCTCCAGACGACCGAGCGTGGGCTGACTCCGGCCCAAACGTGTCTGACAGATTTAGCTGGAGGTGCGGACTTGGGCAGATTTGGACTGAGAATCAGAACCAGATCAGGGGCTCGGTCGTTCATCATGAGTCTGGAAACCTGGCGTGCTGTATTTAGGACGCTGTTGTGCCAAATTATTTGAGCCTCTGTAGGTGAGGCGACATCCGGCTCCTGGGTCAATACTGACTGTTTTCTGAGTGATCCAATAAAAATAAAGCAGATTTCAGGTAAAAACACTCAGAGAAACCAAATCCTGCAAGGTTTGGATGGTGGGTCCAGGTGGGCGGGGCTTGGTGACTGCTTTGTTGTGACATCACAAAGTTCCAGAAGTCCTGACGGCTGGTTTTAAGGCTCAGTTTCTGAATACAGGCTGTGTGCATTTCTCTGTGGACTGAGGCTTTGATACTTTTACAGTATTAATATAGAACCTAGACCTGATCTATAATCAATCAATAATCGTTATAATTGATCATACCTTTATACTATATGGAGCTTTAAACTCAGGTCTCCTTGTAATGAAGGGGAACGTTTACTAAAACCTGAGAGCAACAAAACAAGTGATAAACTTTCTCTTTTCCAAAGACGTAGACGGAGTGCGTTCCAAGGAAGGGCCGGTTCTCATTGGTTGAGGTGACGAGCGTGTTTCTGTGGCGGAGCTCGTTGCGTCTTTCTCAATCAGGATTTCTGGTGTAAAGTGCGAGTGTTTATACGACGCTTTTATCTCACAGCCGAACCCACGGCTCTGAGGGGACGCCACCGCTTCATCAAAAACATCCCGCTGGGAGATCAAGAACATCCCCCGAGAGGGAGGAGAGCGAGTGCAGTAAGAGTGCAGTGAAACACACACACACACACACACACACACACACATACACACAGAAATCCTGACCCACAAACTGTACACGCACAAAAATATACTGTACATACACAAATTCTTACATGTATATAGAGTCTCCTTGTCTACACAAAATGAACTTGAACTCATAGTTAACACACACACACACACACACACACACACACACACACACACACACACACACACACACACACAGTTTCATCATCAAAGCGTTGTCATGTCATTCTGAAACAGCGGTGAAAATGTCACCGGTGTCTTTCAGATGCTTCAATAATTCACACACAGCTTTCAAATGCTAATACAGACACACACACACACACACACACACACACACACACACACACACACACACACACACACACACACACACACACACACACAGAGCACTTAACAGAGGCCCCCATCTGATTGAATTAACACCAAGTCTGTCGTTTCTATCTGAAGTCATTTGTTAGAAGATCTTCAGTCCAGTCAGACTGCTGGGAGCTAATGAGAGCCGCCGTGTGTGTGTGTGTGTGTGTGTGTGTGTGTGTGTGTGTACATCAAGGCACTTGTGTAGCCTAAATCTTTTTCTGAAGAACGTTTTTTTTGTCCCAGTGACCTGATTTGTTGTATATGTTTGTTTAGTTTTTAATTAACCAATAATCAATAATTAATATGCTAATAAATAATCAAGTTCAACAAAGCCTCTGCAGGATGTTTAAAGCCGCTCCTGTAGCATCATGTTCATCGAGTCGTAGAGGAGGTTCCAGATGTTTTGATGTTAAAACATTAAAGCTTCATCAGCATCATTTATAATATTTATAATATTTATAATACTAACTAAAATAACACATCTCTTCTTCAAACACATCTCTTTGTCTCAGCTCTGATGTTTGATGTGTTTTATTGATAATCTTTTATCCTTAATTATTGTTTGTACATATCTTATTGATTGTCTTCATTTATCGTCGGATCCTTTTGTTTAATAAATGATGTTTTTTATTTATGCTGTTTTACTCTTTTCATTATTCTCAGGCTTTGTCCTCCTCTTTTATTAGGTTTTATTTTCGTGTGAAGCACTTTTGTAACTTTGAGAAAAGTGCTGTATAAATAAAGTTAATATTATTATTATAATATTGATTTAAATCAATGAATCCAAACTTTTGTTTTTGCTCCATGTTTAAAACAAAAATCAAAAGATGGAAGTTGATCTGATTCAAAGAGCAACGACAGCTGGTCACATCACAGCAGGTTGTTTTCATCATTGTTATTCTTGCACATGAACTCCTGTAAAACCAGGTTCTAATCTCTGAGACTGAACTCGTATGTTCTGCGCGTAGCGCCGCCGTCGCCCTCACGTGGTTTCACACTCAGACGAACTGAGGCAGAACTTCAGAGGCATCTCAACACGTTCACTCCAGCTGATTACATGTGAACACCTCGCCCCGAGCACGTGTCCATACAAACCCTGCTGCATGTGTGTGTGTGTGTGTCTGATCTATACTGGTTTGCTAATGCTGGATAATACACAGATTCTATGATACACACTCAATATCCTGAGAACACACACACACATTTTCCAGCACCCAGGTCACGTAGAGTCAAGACATGACCTGTCAATCACAGAGTGCACACGTTCAGCGGGGTTTCTAATTGCCTAAAATCTATCTGAAGCAAGTCGACTCGGGCTTCAGCTCCAATCCCGTCTCGCCCTCATCACCGCCGACATCAAGGGCTTCAGAGCGTCCGCGTTCAAACCGCCCGCGACAGCTCGGCCTCATCCAGACCCATTCGATCTAATAACCTTCAACTCCTCCACTTCAGCCCATCAGCGCAGCGTGTTTTACCTTGGAGATCAAATACTCTGAGCTTCTTCTCCCCCTGGAGTATTCAAATTAAGCGTCTTCAAAGACGGCCGAGACCCGCTGCTGCGATACAAAGACTTGTTACAGTAATTTTTTTTTTTTTTTTCAAAGTGTTAGTTTCTGAGAAGAGACTTCAAACTCTGCCGTTTGGTCTGAGGTCGCGTTCACAGCCGACATGTTCTCTGCAGCGGACATTCAAACAACTTGAACTCTGACCTCCAGAGACACAGGGATCGGTCCCGAGGACGCCGCACCAACACATTCACAAACACTCGAGGAAAAGATGTTTGGCAGCTACGAGCAAAACTGAGCAGCTGAGTAAAAACATTTTTACTTTAGAACATCTCTCAGACTGAAACCAGATCAGTTTCTACGTTTCCTTCGACCTCTGACTTTTATCTTTCAATCTTTTATTCAACAACAAAACAACAACAAAGGGGCGTCGAGTAGCTCAGTTGGATGAGCAGGCGCCCCATGTGTGGAGGCCACAGTCCTCGCTGCAGTCGGCCCCGGCTCGAATCCCGCATCGGACGGCCCTTTACTGCATGTCATTCCCCCTCTCTCTGCCTCCCCATCTCCTGTCTCTCTCTACTCTCCTGTCATAAAGCCATAAAAAGCCCAAATATATATTTAAAAAAAAACAGAGAAATCATCAAGAGGGAGGAGCTGCCTTCTTCTTCTTCTTCTTCTTCTTCAGGTGTTTAGTTGACCACGTCTGTTACGATCCTTTAGACTGGCTGTAAATTCTGTGACGCTCTTCTGTTTAAATTCACAGTAAACTCCAAACGACTTCCTGTTTTACATAAAGAACCTCTGCACAGCAGAAAACTGCAGACTCATCTGCTTTCAAACTTCTATAGAAGAATGGAAAGAGATAAAAAAGGTAAAGTCCATCAAACACCCGCCACAAAGGACCGGCTCACATGGGACTGAAGTCGAACAGCATCATCAGGAAGTTCGTCAAACTGAGATAATCTTGTTTTACTTTCTAGTAAGTGAAGATAA